GGACATGGTGTGTTTATAGGTTACATTAGGGACCTTAAGGATGTGCTAAATATGAGATTATTCTATTAGGTTTAGGAATCCTAATTATGTTCCTATATCCTTTCCAATCTAGGAGTCTCCTCCTAACCCTAATCACCCTTCTAGGAGACTCTAAAGTCTCCTAACCCTAGGATAATATTCTAGAAAGAATATTCTTTTCCTAATGAAATCTAAATTATAGAATATAATTAATTTCTAATTCCTAAATAGAATTAAATAATAAAACATCTCATTAAAGTAATATTATTGCTCTCCCTATTTAGCACCAATTTATTCAATAAATTCAAACCTCCACTTGATTAATTAATATTAATCTAATTGATCGATTTATCTTCCTATGTTTAAGATGTAACGTCCGTCGATTAATTTAATTATTCACAATAAAATTAAATCAACTTCTTTCATTTTCGAAAGTAGTACCACTCAGTTCATTAACCATTATGTCAGATAATTATCCACCTACAGGGTTTGACATAATATTCCTTCCTGAGCTCATTTCGGGGACGTCATCAACCCAGCGCACTGGGACATAGTGACCGTAAATAATTTATAACAGCACATCATATAAACACTCTCATTTATCAAAATACCGAGTATGTCATTCTAACATAATAGGCATCACCCTTGGTAAATCAAATAAACAAGTGATTAATATATATGCCCGATTCGTATTATCTTACAGCTTAAGAGTACACATCAATTATTGAAGGTCTAGATTATAACAACGATCAGTAAATCTTATAATCTTATCCTTCTGCGGTCCATTTGATGCATAATAAGTAAGGATGGACCTCTTAGTTGGCATGCTTAAAGGTCCCCCAAAGATTTGTTTTTACTACCGTCAATTTCATTATTAAGTAAGAACCAACCATGGCACAATAAAGTTATTACTTGTAGTGAGATCCCATAAGTCCAAAGTGCTCGGCAGAATCTCTTAAGAGGGATGAACAATGCAAAGTAAAAGGATAGAACTTCAGGCCGATGAACTCAAAGATCCTAAAGAGCAAGTTGAATTGCGAATTGTCGCTGGAAGACCAATATTAAGTAAGCTAGGAAGAACCCTAGTTCAGAGGCCTATGTCAAATCCGTTGGGCAGAACTCCGAGCTATAGTTCGGAGGCGATGTAAAATAAATTAGACTAAGTTTCGACTTTAGAAGAGTCTACGGAAGATGATCGGAAACTTGGAATATATAGAGTTCGGGTAACACAAGTAAAAAACAATAAGTGGTCATAAGACATTCATATCAGAAATGCACTTAAGTAAAAACAAGCTCGTATA